CCATGTATTTTGTCAGGAATGAAAACTTAGGCGCGTTAACTCCATATCCAGTAGATAACTCAATAGATAATCCAATCGTAGCATAGCATGCAAGTAAGGTATTTTGTTTGTTTGGTTGAGTTACTTTAATAAATATTAAGTTTATGTACGTATACCTACTTTAATAAAATAAGCATTCGTTCATACAGGTAACTGAGTACAGTCTTATTTTGGTAGGTCCAGGCGAATTTCATATTTACAATATACATTTTCCGCCAGATAAAAAGACACAGATCGAATTAAACTTGATACGGAAGTGTTATATGTGGTAAATTTATATAAATATGTATTAGGAATGTCAAATGTTGACCTTCGTGGTTGACATTTTAATGCTTTCTGTAATATATTATATCTCCTTGATGGGCCACGAAATAATGACATGAGCTACAATCATGAGCTAAAACAAAAAAATATAGTAATAAATCAGAGAAAACACCAATTAACTGAACTCAAAGGTTAGTCTAGGTTGACTTGTTATTTTAAATAAACGAAGACAGATTTATTGTTAGCTGCTCTGCAAGACATATTTAATGTTTTGAAACCGCAACATAATATTGTTTTGAGAATATTTATATATTCTATTGTATCATTAAACTATGTTTTATAGGTACTGCCAGCACAGAAAAAGTTTATTCTCTTCGAAGCTTCTATACATATTATATTATAAAGTCCCCGCCGCGTCTGTACGGGATAATCTCAATAACAATAGTAAATGGATTTTCATGCGGTTTTCTTCCATCAACAAAGTTATTTCAAAGGAAGGTTTACCTACGTGTATAATTGTGTTAAGGTTTTGTGTAAATTGGTCACTCGATTATGTAAACAGAAAGGCCCGGAGTGTCCGACTACTGATTTATACTAATACTACTACACTATCGTACTAGCTAAGTCCGCAAATTAGTAAGTTTTTCTATTTGTAAACCTATTTAAATAAAACGTACACAGAATATTATGTGAAGATTACCACAATACATTAGTAAAAAATGCATGCAAATCTATTAAGTCCATTCCGAGATTAGCATGGGAAGTAAAGTCTTCCAATAATAATAGTATTGTACAAACAGTGATCAATTACACTTTTATTATATGTATAGATATAAGTCGGAGAATATATAAATTTTTGATAAACCTACGCTGCAGAATTAAAAGAAGGTTGGAAATTTAGTCTATAAATTTTTAACTTATCCAACATTAAATTCGTGTTCAGACGTCTGCACTATCCAGACCTCTGTACCTGGCAAGAAACTAAAAGACATATTTCAGTATTTCTAATCTACTCCTATTAAGTGAATGAAAAGGGATAAAATTTCTGAAAATGCTGAACAAATTCTTTCTTTCTAACAGAAAGTTTAGTAATTTTTGAGTAATATATATTTCATGCTTTATTTTACTTATTGTAGGTACTATTAGATAGAATCTTATTAAACGAAAACTACAAAGAACAAATGATGAAGCCAATTTATCCATAGGTACAATTAATATTTGACGGCCTCTGTGATCTAGCCATTTAGCACACCGCTTTACTTCCGATGGTCGCGGATTCGATTCCTCGCACGGTGCAAACATTTTTCTTCATGAATATGATTGTTTGTATTAGGCTGGGTGTTTTCTGTGTTCATATGTTCTGTATGTATTTACAAAAAATCTATTTATGTCAGTTGTCTAGTACCCATAAAACAAGCTCTGCTTGCCGTGGGATTGGATGGTGTTGTATTAATTAACTGCCCAGGATTATTTATTATTTAAAAAAAAATGATAGCAGCTGATCATTCATAACCCTATTTACCTATTCATTAACTTGAGCTTCAGCGTTCAGCTTTTTCTCTCCAGTCGTTGTACATATGTAATCAACATATACGAGCATTTTTTTTGTATCTTATTTATATATATATTTATATATAAATAATATAGATATTTTTTCTAACACTATATCGTTCTACTTACACATTATTCGGAATATCCACTTTAAAAAAACTAATTGTACAATGTACACGCTCAATTAAGTTTTGTGGCTTTTTGCCAGATATGTATCTCGCTATTCTATGAGTGTATTAGAATTAAAAGGATTCAAACGTATATACTGATCAATATAATAATATAATTTATATTAAACCCGAAAAAAGATGTACTTATAACATGCCAACTTAACTCTGCAAGGTGTTTTCTAATAAATTCAGGGTAGAAAGCGTTAACACAAGCTGTGGCAGTGTATGATGTAAAAAAACTGCATACAATGAAAGTTGTCAGAATATTTTAATGCACTTTATATTGGTTTTTATATTGGTTACCAATTTTGAAAATCATTATTTCACAGTATTTGCTTTATTCGGTAAATTTTGATAATAAATATGGAAGTTGCTTTGTCAAATTGAATTGCGACCCAAAAGTATTTGGTATAGCCTTGGGTCCACCTATCTAATGAGGATCCCATAACATTTATAAGGAATTAATGAACCCGAGTAACTTTATATCATTATTACACCTATTTGTGAGGATACAATGAAGTCTATATCACTGCAAAGTTAGCTAATTAGCACGATAGATAATAATTCAATTGAATCTAATATATCTTTTGATTTAGGCACATTTCCTGGTAGATAATATCTTAGTTTTGTCTTGCAAGTTTCTTTTGGAAACGATATTTATATATTGATTTAGTAAATGGGAAGTTTTCGATATAAATCATTATTATATGCAAGTATGCAAGTAATACAACACTGAAGCTATTATAACCGTGAAATCTGAAGGTTAAATGTAATGACCGTCATTCTTGACGGATCAATGTAGTCAGTGGCCGGGTGCCAACCGCGGGAGTTTCGCGGACTGATTAAGTATACACATACACATACCAGTTCCTCGTCGCCAAGCCGTCTGAAGGCGCATCAACTCAATCGAATAAAGTGTATCCTTCCATGAATACAATATGCAAAACTGCGACATTCGTTTAGCAATCCAGTTTTATTAAACTGGTTTCTCTGTCTATAACACAGATGGTCATTTTATGCTATGCTATAACACTGCATTTAAATAAGGTCGCGTTTGCATATATTGTGGTATATAGAGGTGCTCTTAAGTAAATTTTGGCTCTAATTAGAGTCTATTTATCTAGGTAGACTATCTCTAGGTACATTTGTACAAAGTCGTTTGTGTTGGTATTGGTGTCTCATTTATGTTAGCCACCAGGCAGCTTGCTTTGTAAGCTGTTTTGGTTTAAAGAGTAAGTAAGATATGGTAATTAAATTACTTAGTATGGATGTATGTACTTTAGTCTTTAGTTATGGCAACGCATAACGGAGATAACGAGGCTTACATGATATCGTGATGTCCGTAGTGCTCTTCATGTATATGGCCGATGTTTGCCACTTACCATCAGATAGTCCATAACCTTGTTTTCCATTCCAGTTATATAAAAAAAATTAAAGCTAAGTTCTGATTTTGTGTGAGGTTCTATATAAATGAAAAAAAAAAACAACGTTACCTATAAGATGTTGGCTACAGAAGGATATCGTGAATTGTAAAATCACAAGCAAGTAGGTATAGTAGATCCAATGCGCAGTTCAGAATTGATACGGTTAGTTGATAAATTGAAGCACTTGCATTGTCAATCTCAATCTGTGCCAGTGTTCTCTATTATTTTAATACAATGTAACTGAGTTTGTTATGTATGGTCATGCTATTAAAGGCTAATATAGTTCAACTAAATAGCGTAACAGTAAGTTGGGTGTACAAACAGTGCGGCTATTTCAAACATTAATCATTCCTTGATTAATCGCTGTACTGGTTAATCCGATAGAAATATTGTAGGTTTATAGTCTTCATTCTATTCAGTATATAAGATTAAATAGATGGGATTTATTAGAAATAGACGGATTAGTGTATAGTAGGGGCTATGGTCGAGCTATCTGCGAGTTTACGGTTGGTTGCCGCTACTGTTGTCCTCAAGTAACATTGTTCTCAGTCTAGTCTCTTAGGGGATTTATTCCTCCGCAATAATAAAACATCGACCATCAACTTTGCTTCTCCACTGCTGTTCACTGAATTATTCCGTTTACGGAACCGTCTTTTTGTATTTCTTGTTCGAAACTCCAGTTGCTATCTCAAGGGTTGGAATATTAAATATTGATAAGCAGAAATGAATGAACGAAACGAAATGATGCCTTATACAAATTTGATTATAACGCTGGTTTTCGTGTAGCGCGTAGTAACTTAGGGCGTAGTACTTGTATGTAGTTTGACTTAGTAAACAATATAATTTGTTTTGCTTTCTCGTACACAATCGATTTGATAGACTAACATAAACATAAAAAGGTTAATGTAAACCAGGGACAAATTAAAGTCACATCTATTTATTGATATAATAAATAACTGTACCCAGAAATTATCGTTATCTAAAGTACGAGTACTATAAAACAAAACTAAACAACTAAATTATGTAAAGATGTATTACGTGGAATTTAATGTGCAGTGGAACATAGATACATTAAACGTTAAATTAACTTAAATTGTACCTGTTGCGAGAGTACATATTTTATACGTACACACATGTCAGATCTAAACTATTTCAATGAAATTTGTTATCTTTACTGGATTTCTTGTTAAGTAGTTGTGTTCTAAGAAACCAATTAATGTAACAAGAACTGGAATGAGTGCAGTATTTGTATGTGTAATTAGCTGACACGCGCAATTTCGTATACCTTTTCTATTGATGCTCCGCTCCTGTTATTTTTAGCGTGATGTTATATACTCTATAGTCTGTCTTAATAAATGACCTATATCTTAGATTCGAACCTGTAGTTCCCGATATTAGCGCGACAAGCAATCACTACATTAACTTTATTCACTACATTAGCTTTATATATTTTTTAAATCAGTGAGTCATAACTAAATGTCTGAGGATATCACAAGATATCTAGATATTGTAATATTTAAATTTTAGTAATAAATTAAAACTTGTTGTACAGGTGTGGCCTCCACGCGGATTTCACGGAGCTGACAGCCTGCGTGGGCGGCGAGCTGGACCGGAACGAAGGTTCAGCTGTACACAGAAGATACTTCTACATCACCCTACTCAGGGAACCAGTATCAAGGTATATACATATACTATTTGTAATTAATCAGTATAAATAAAATACCAGACTAATAAACTAAATAATTACGCTTAATGCGCGATATTTTTTTATGTCTTTGGAATGGCAATAAATCTGACGACCCACCAGATGGGGCAACTGTCGTCTGTATACATCAACAGAGAACAACAGATGGACAGATACTTTTGAAGGGTTGCCAGAAGAAATCCAGAGAACCAAATTATTAATTATGTCTGCCTACTCTATAACTGCAGTTAGACAGACCCCTTGATCTATCTCGTATTTATAATGATGGTTGAATCAGATCTTAAAATACGTGCCACTAATATACGTGTATATTTTTTGGTGTATATAAAAATATAGATAGACCTCTCTTACTACTATAGTGTATCAAAGGGTATTTTAAATACTGAATATAGTTTTCATTGTAATCAAATAGCATTTATATTTTAACTTATTTGCCATATTTTAATATAACCTTAATTCTAAAGTCTAATCCAATTTAATAACACCAGGTACTTGTCGGAGTACCGGCATGTGAAGCGAGGCGCTACGTGGAAAGGCTCCCGGCACTGGTGTCAGGGACGGACCGCTACAGGTAACAAACTTATAGCAATTATTATTACACTAGCCGGCCTGTGTTGTTCGTCTACATCACACTTACTTCACATTTATCATTATATATTTAGCTCAATTTATGTAATATTTTTTTAAATCATAACATAGCTTGTGTATGTTTTATTCTGATGTATAAGCTAAGTTGTATTATTGTAAAAAAATACCAAAATCCGTTCGGTAAAAGAGTATCAAACGTGCATCCATTAATGCATACTCACAAACTATTGCGTTTATAATATTAGTAAGATTACTACCACTAAGATACCACAAACTCACCGATTTCAGCTACCAAATAACTTTATAAACTAGAGGGTGAGAAATGGCAGTGAAATACTGGGTGCGGGGACATAACAACTTAGTTCTCCGGAATGATTATGTGAGTGTAACATGATGGCGTGATAATCAGTGTTGTTCATGTATAAAGTTGCGTTATTAGCGTGGAATGCTGAAGTTTAAAGTAATAATGAAACTCAGCTAGATCTTACCTAAACATTCCTCTTAAAATCTTTGTGAAAATTTTGCTTATATAAAAGAATGTTAGATAAAAACTCTACTTTTAAACAGAGCTCAAATTATAAATTCGTGGCTTTTACCCGTAAAGCGCCAAGAAACTTGTTATCTACCACAACCCGTCTATAACATCTATATATACTGGCTTAGAAAGTTTATAAACCTAATATCATATTATTTTGTAATTATGAATAGTCATGATCAATCAATATATAATCTCTAAGAGATTATTTATTGTTTCACAGTGAACGAATTTTCAGAAACGACCCGGTTCATTTCATATATTCCTCCATACATGCAAATAAATAAATTTTACCTCAGTAATATGTTAGTATTGACTGTATAATATCTATATTTATTCAGCAATTCGTTTCGTTTCCTATTCTGAGAAATAGAATCTATTATAATACGAGATTTTTCTTATGGCATATATCGAGTGTAAGAAAACTAAGAAATAAGAAGCACGTCACGCGAATTCATTTGAATTTTATGCATTCCCAGTATATGTATTACACGCACGTTTATAAAACGAATGCGTATTATGTTTAACTTAATACAGATTTGTCTATGATATAGGTTCCTAATGTAGCGCACCACTTATAGGTTTTTGTCTCGTCTCCATTCTATAATATTCCCTTTTTTTATATACAATTTATTTTTTTACTATATATTTTTTTAAAACTGCTATTGCCACAGTTATACTATATTTAAACATGCAATTCCACAAGCCGACATTCTCACCCAACGCTGTGAACCTAACTCTAGGTCAAAGTTCTACTTAAATTTGACTAACTATTTTTTTAATCTATATAAATACTGTGTAAGTATATATAAATACAGGTCTTTCTATTTTATATTGTATACTGAGAAATAATATGGAAATATTTAGAGTACTGTTTCACGATAACCCGGTTACTAACATTGTCTAAAAATATTTGGTTTTCCCAACAATGCTGCTATAACAATGTATTAAGTGTTTACATAATATTGTTAGTGATAATACTAAGATGTAGTAAAATATAAGCAGAGTACATAACACTAACGGGATCATCGACCTTTGCCAATTTAGCTAAGTTTTTATCTACTGTACAACGCTAATCGACCGCGGGTCCCGGCTCAATTATGTGCACATGCTGTTCCACGTACTTGCTAGTTCCTGTTTGAGCGGTTTGCTAATATCCGATATTTTATATTAACGAAAGAAACTTAATCAATTGTCTGTATTTTCATGTACATGTAGCATACTGTACCGTATCATTATATCATCAGTAACCTTTGATAAAAGTAGTTCCTTTTTTGTGAAAGCCAAATCAAGTCCAGCTGGTGGATGTAGTCTAATCGTTCGATGATGTCCAATCTATTTTTGTGCCGTTCTTTTGAAATGTAATCGAGACTATATGTACGGGATAAATCGATAACAATGTTAATTATTTCTCTCATAAAACACGAATTATGAAACTAAAGAGTTAGGAATGCTCTAATTCCATATATAATTGAAGAGTATAAAAATGTGCAAAACAGCTCAGGCTTATTATTCGGTCGCAATAAATTTAAAGAGGAGAACGGCTGATATCAGTTTTAATTAAAAATTCTTCCTTGCTACCAAGGTTGTCAGTTATTTAATTTTATCAGTAGCATTTAATTATTTATAATCTCATTCATTACAATTATTTTAAAGTTTTTATTTTAATCAATAACTAAACTTTGTTCCATTAGAAATTACTAAAAAGGTAAACAAATAGGTAACTATGTTTAGTAACAAGAGGTCATTACAAATAGTACTAATATAAGATTAATAATTACATACACAAACAAATCTAAATATATTGAATATTTCGATTTGTTTAACTAAGATTTATTTTCATCGTTACATAGATGTTAGTATGATAGATGAAAAACAATCCAAGTTTGACAAATGATGTAAAAACTAAATTGAATATAAAAGTGAAATCTTTAAATAACTTATTTAGTAAATAATAATGATATTTTTAATAATAAATACTACATAATATATATTCTATAATATCTGTATTGTTTGATGTCGTAAAATATTGCTGTCATTCATATTGAATATATTCCGATTATTTATTCGATTGATAAAACGTACATCTCTTTGCGACTGTCGACATATTGAGCTTTTTTATAATTTCATTCGTTCATTTTGCTCTCAATTTTCACTTCATATTTTTCAAATACAATTTATAAAGATACTATTCATGTGATAATTTTTATAAAATTTTATTAAATTCTGTAAGCTCCATTGGAACGGCTTTTACTTTAATACTATCAATACAGATATCGAATCAAATAATTTATATATTATAATAAATAATCACGAATATAGATTCAGAATTAATTAGCGAACATATCTTATAACTTACAAAGAACTACTTTTTGATATTGATTGAAAATACAACAATTGGTATCTTTAAAAAGTTATCTTTATCTTTTATTAAATTAGATGTTATTTTGCGAAAGTATTTTGCTGGTGGTCAATCTTCCTCCCAAATTTGATTTTAAAAATGAATCTGTATTATTTTATTTAACATCTACAATATTTATTTGAAAAAAGTACGAGCTGAGTTTCTTGTCAATTCTTCCCAATTCGAAATTATTCTGAACTGATGGTAGATTTGAGATATCATAAGAGTCTGTAATAGACCTACATGAATAAAGATATTTCAATTTGTATTTTAATATATTTCATTACTCAATATAATTATATGGTTTTGTTTAAATCCACCACCATTTGCATGTGTTAGATCATAAATATTCAGTACGGAAACTTGACCACCACGTGTAGATCCAATAACGTTCGGACGTTGATCGTTAATAGAGAAGTTCACAACAATTCCAGTAGCGGTGGTCATTTGTCCGCACTGAATATTTGTGGTCTCACACATAGTAATGGTAGCGAAATTATAAAAAAAATCTATGAAGTAATTAGTACGATACCTTACGTAGATACTACGTGTACGTCATTACTCAGATAACTCAAGCTCGAATGGGCCTCGGCCTGCGAATCTAGAACCTTAAGTCCCTCCATAAATTACGAAACCAAACGAATTTCGTGATTTTTGACCCTCCTCCCGACCCTATTTCAGTATGTTACATTTAGGAGTCTCCCTACTCTAGTGTCACATTGTACTTTTGAACTATTCTCGTTTATAGTTCAAAATGTCGTCCTTTAATTCCTTAATATAAATCCATCCATCTAGTATTAGATTTTGAATGAGGCTTCCCACCTATTTGTCACACAATGTTACATTGAACTCCCCCCCCCCCCCCCCCCCGCCCCTTCCTAAAGTATGACCTAATTTATAGATAGCCCCTAAGATTTCATCCATTGAAAAGTAGTAAAATTTGATATACAATTATAATTTTCGTAAACTCACTATAAAACAGTTCCCAATTTAAAGCATCCCTAAAGTTCTAAATAATAAAGTTCAAACATAAATAATATCAGCGTTATTGCCAGGAAATAGATAAATAACTCGAAGTATCTATTGTAAGCAGTACGAAAGATACGATATATGGACGTGGCTCTTTGATCTTCCTGATACATGAAAATTTATTTATTGCCATCTAGTTCATAGTAAAATTCCATTTTCGGTCATTTTATTTGTTTGACACTGTTTGAGTGATTTATTACACTCGTATAGTTAGACTGGTTATAACAATAACTCTTGTTTTTGAAAAAGGACGGAATTCTATTCGTTTGTATACTTCGGTTCTATAGGTATTACCGCCGTATTGTTAAATAGTATACATATTATATATACAATTTCTACCCCTGTTTTTACTGGTTATGGGGATGATCTTAATTTAAATATTAATTAATTATATAATATTAATTTAAAATAATATTGCAAATCCTCTAAAATAAATTAATTTTAATTTTTTTTATTTATTTTATAAACGCGATAACAATCTTTTACCTGCTGATGTATAATAGTAGGCTCTCCGAAGTTATTAGTTATTATATATTTTATTACGTAACACTTTTAAAATGTTTTTATATAATATTAATAAAGTACGACGAGACACCACGAATGGCAGATATTTTATTTATAAAAGCACATAAACACCATCAAGTCCAAAGTGGTAGAGTAATAATAACATCGTAAACTCAAGGCTAGTACTCGTGTCTGTGACAGATGTACACAATATGAACAAGTAAATGAGTTACACGACACTAAACAATTATTATTAAAACCTAGTTTGTAGAAGTGTATTATATTTGTGTATAATTATAATTCTCATTAATAGATAAAAATTGTAAGAATGTTTTTTCGATTAGATCACACTAAACCTTACTTTCATATATAGCCAAGCAGACTCTGTGTAACTATGCAACTTACAGTTATCATATTATCTTCCTTAAAATAATATAAATTAGTAGCATGCTTATGATCTTGACATATGATTAGGATTCTCTTAGATTAGTCTATATGTAGTTCTGACCGCAAAAACTAAGTTTGTTGTGTAAAAAAGAAACAACATATAGTTAATAAGATATCATCAAACATTGTGATTTTTCAAACTGTGCCAATATTCTTGTCATTTATACTTTTCTTTATTAACAACGCGATGAAACTGCGACAGCGTATATTACTAGAAGATGATGTATAGCATTATATAGGTGAAACATTTTTGAAACTGAACTCAATGATTTATTGTCTTTATCATTCGCCATTACGATCAACAACAAACACAAAAAATGTAATAACTTCTCTTCATAATATTATTATCGGTAATTGTGAAATTACTATTCACACAGGGGCTGAAGTTCCACCATGCTACTCTGGCGAATCGTGGCGCGGAGTCACATTGGAGGAGTTCACGTCATGCCCATGGAACCTGGCAAATAACAGGCAGACTCGTATGCTGGCTGACCTGGCATTAGTGGGATGCTACAATGGCACCCTCAGACATAGAACACCAGACATCGATAGAGTGTTGCTAGCTTCCGCCAAGAGAAACCTGGCTGCGATGGCTTATTTTGGACTCACGGAGTATCAGAAGGTGAGTAGTTGCTTTGAATTTTAGAACTCTAACGCCTTCCTTACACTTTTCACATTAGTTTTCACTGTTATTTCATTGAATTGATACCCCATCCCATTTCAATAGCAATCGAAATTACGACGGCCTGAACCTAGACTCGTATCCGACTTTAGTCTGTCTTTAGTCTAAAGTAGTATCCATCAGGCAGGAATTGCCATTCAGCAGTCCATGACGCATTGTCAACTGTTTACGTTATAGAGGATGCAATATTTGTTATACTTTTTTTTCGTATTATGGCGACGTATAACATAAACATTCTTGTTCTTTCAAATGTTTAATTCCTGGCTGAAAAAGAAGTAATTTGGGTCAATAACAGATACGATCGTGAATTACGTACCTACCTACCCTGATCAGATTCGAAGATAAACGGTATTGGTAGTCGTTATTCAAGATAGCTCCGCTTCGCATGGCGTCATCGGGTTTTAACTCGTTTGTTGCGATCTAAACTACGTAACTACGGGATGGACCAGAGTCGATTGGAGAAGCTTTTACGTTTATTACCAAATTTACAACGCGAAGTAGTTTAACAAACGCTTTTTTATTAATTGCTTGGATTCCGCGGAAGTTTTTATTGCTTTCTGTTTCGTACTTCCCTTAAATTAAAAATATAGAATTATTGTTTTACCACCTACATTATAGGTATTTATCTCGGACAACTACGAAATAATTTCACTACTTCTACTAAAATATTTATATATCTCATTTTACTTTATTTCTATGTGTGTCATCGCAGAACATTTTTCTAAGCTAACCGATTTTCAGTGGACTACTCATAATCAATTTTATTTAAATGCTGGTGCATCTATATAATCTTAATAAAGATGATAAGTAGTAAATTAGAATATATCAAATATTCTAGTTATTACTTTTACTATTATTAAAGTTGGTCACACGGCTGGAACACGGTATTTCTAATCTTTGTTTTATAATTCATAATTTTACAACAGAAAAGCAATATTTCATCTAAGAACCATAAAGTTAAAATTAGAAGAAAAATTAATAAGTACCTAAAGTAATTTCTCACGGGTAATAGATACCTACGAGTATACGGCTTGAAACAGCACTTGTCGGATTTTAAACGCGTGAAAGTAATTGCTTGAACGTTTATTTTCTCGAAAACGTAAACTTTCCCAAGTCCACGGAACATTTATTTTCCAAGCCATTAGTTATAATATTTATGGTAAACCTACTTACTATTTGTAAGAAAGATAAGATAACGGACTCTGATGAATGTGATTAGCAAAAAGAATGTTTTTAAAATATAACCATCCTGGTACAGGTAGGTACGGTGGAAAGAAATTACAATATTTCCGTTGCTAGCGTTTCAAAAACATGTTTTTCCATTTGTATTTCTGACAGAAAGATATATAGATTCGTAATTTAAACCTACGCACGTATGTGAAATTTTGATAAGTAAAAAATACAAATTATCTTAATATTTTACACTTGTAATCTTAGATAGAATAGTCAGATTTAATGTAATTGTCTCGTGATTATATACATATAAAAATATATTAAAATAAACAATTGTCCAATGTCCAAACAATGAACAACCGATTGATCTAGAATCGGGACTAACAGGGGTAATCTATTAAATTGGTTCTCCTATATAGCTAAGTACTAAATTAGCGAAGACATAGCGCTATAGAAACAATCATATCATAAAAAACAGCATATTGGTATGGTATGTTAGACTCCATTCTCCGCAATTAGCCTCACATTCGGGCCGTTGTGCGTGTAGAGCCAGACTACTAACGTAGCCAGCCAAGCTCCTTCCAAAAGCGCAGAAGACTCCTGGTGTCTTCGCAGGCTTCACGGAGCGACCTCACCGTTCCGAGGATTTGTTTTCGTTGTTGGGCCACTGCCGTGCACTCCAGGATTACATGAGCCGCCGTTTCTTCAGCTTCAAAGGAGCCCCGACAAAGGGGGCTGTCTGTAGCATCAATTTTGTATAAGTGTTTGTTTAAGGAACAATGGCCCGTTATTGTCCCTATCATTATTTTAAGGTTTTGTCTATCTAGATTAAGTAGACGTGTTGTTAACCGATGGTTCGTTTTTGGAATTGCCACTTTAGATTGTTTGCAATCAGTGGTTAGGTTCCATCAAAACAGCATATTTTGTAGGCGGTTAAAAAGAAGTATCTATACGTAGATTCTGTGATGACCTTAAAATTGCGTAAACAGACCTTGGTCACGCTAGACGTTATCACATATGTATCAACAAAGCGAATCAACCGAAAGCAAATCTATTTAGAATTGCAGTTATAAGGACAATTTATCACATCAAGACAATTAATATGGAAATTATTAACTATTAACGAATTTATAATAAGGATAAATCAATATTATTCGTATCCGTATATAAATTCATATTTACCCAATTAAATATATATTACACAAGAGTTAAACGCGTTGGAAAGGACCTAAATACTTTAGACTGTAGGCGACAGGTGTAGGAGTCAGGTCATTCCACCGGCCCATTCCAACGTTGTCGTAGGAGCATCGTCCCTGAAATCCGACATGAAAGGTGGCATTAGCGAAGGTATTTTCTGTCGCCGCTGAATGTTGACCACCCAAACTATAAGCCCTTTTTATACCGATAATCCGTATCTTATCTGACAGTCTGAACTCCATCGTTACTATCTTTACATTCTTTCCTATTCTCTTAATATAAGTTTTACCTGGTAACCATCGTGGATAATTCCTAGTGAATTCATCACGATGTGCTAACTATACTTTATTTTCATTGCCTTTCACTAGTGCTTCACCAGTATGTGCTGTTAATGCAGGCGGGTGCACCATTTCGTTATCATTCATAAAAATACGTATAGTTATACTCATGTATTTGATAACAGTTACCAATGTAACATCTTAATCTGTAACCCACTGACTTAACTTATTACTTAATAAGAAATTACTACTGGCCGACACAAAAAAAAAACTAAGCTTCAATTTATATTTTTGACTGACCCTCCGGCGGAGACTGTTGTAAATGTGGCCACTTCAAGAGTTCCGTCCCTTGTCGTAGACAATTGACAATCCGCTGCATTGTCAATTGTCTACAGCAGTCGTAACGGTATATTTATCTTATTATTTTTTATATTAAAATTAATATACGGTACTTTGACGGTCGATACCGCAAGCCTCCAGGCGTCGTTTCCGTATGACAGTGACAGCGCTGAAAACATTGTGAATATACCACAAAGGAAAGAGGGCTCATGCTCGTTAGCGCTGTTTTACGTGGGGTACCTTAAAAAAAATACGTCGAAAATACAGCAAAGGAAGCATTACGCTTCCATTTGTATATTCTCAATGTACTGTTTCTTACTGCTTATGCAAACGAGTTCGTTTACGGAAATTAATCCTTTTATTTTATATTACTAGGAAATATCGTGTCTTCGTTCACGCAGAACTTGGTATTGTTAGTTCCCGTGCCTATTTTAATATATAATTATTTTTATTGACGGTTTCCATGGATGCGATATACTAAACTTAATATCTTAATGATAATGGATATACCCAATTAATAATAAAATTAAATAAAACCCAGGATAATTTACGCATAATTTATTTACTGTCAGACAACATAGTCCGTGTTTATAGTAACAATTACTTAATATATTAACCTATTTTAGTAAAAAAAATGTGGCACAACCCCTTATAACCTGTCTCACCTAATGTCTCAGATAAGGAGACAGTCTATTTTAAAGGTAATGTCTTCAGGATAATTTTGGAACTAATTAAGTAAAAAAAAAAACAGTAATTTTTTTCTTGAATGAATGAATACAGAAAATCGTACTCATAAATACAAATGGTTGTATTGCGCAAAGATCAAACCTGCGACCATCGGAAGTAAAGCAGTGTACTAAACCGCCAAGATCGTAAATGGTCAGTACAGTTAAAGAGCTTCTCTTATGTGACGGAAGTACGTACCTATTAAGAAATTCCAATGGGAATAGGAATCTGTACGGACGAAGCTGAGGGATATAAGTCTAGTATTTTTTTTACTTTAAGTACTTTTAATAACTAAACGAGCCGTTTCGTTTAGTTTAGTTTCATTCGTATGAATCTAAACAAAAAACCACAAACTAAAATTAATTATTTTTATTTCCATTACGAGTCAGCCAACAGTAGCTACTTCAATTTCCAGATAGAATCAGTAACTTCTGAAATATAGGCGACACATTAACTGACAAATTCGCATCATAAGGTTCCCCTTGCGTTATGAATTTGTCCGTTTTGCCTTTTTAGGTCGAAACCCTAAAAACAAACTTGTAGCTACTCGCATTATTATGCAATTAGCAACGCTGCCCGAATATCCACTTTGTACTAGCTACACAAGACTATCCATTTTACCCCGGTGACCCTCAGCGATAAGCGAACACATTATTTGCACTTGAATCGTTGTCCGCGTATCTCTACGGTCACACTATTTGCCAACACGTTCACCGCCCAGGCGTCTGCCTCCCAAAATCCACCACTTTTCTTATTTTATGAATATTCATCGCCCATTTCCTATAACCACACCGTCTCCCATTTAATGGTTTATTTGTATGATCTTGTTAATCTCGAATTTATTACGCTTTTATACAGTTGCCGTAAACTGCGCTGCGCACATAAACTAGATTTACGCTCCAATGTTTCTGGGAACGGAGTTTTCGTTTGAGTTTTTATTACGGTCGGTTTTAAGGGAACACATTCCAAAGGGAAATTTAAATTTGCAGATAGATAATCAAAATATATTCCGCGAACAAATTTCAATTAGCAGACCGCAATACGGAGTAATGTATTCAAAAGCTAACAACGATATAGGTACTTGAATGTTATCAATTGCTCATTCAATAATTGCACATTTCAACTCTTGGTACAATATTGATGAATGAGTATTTAATAGAATTAGTGCTAATTGGTGGTTTGTATTCACACACTTAAACTTAAAAATGTAAAGTAATAATAAATTAT